TGAAATGGTTAAGAAGAATTCTCATTTGGGGGAATTTTGGCTGTTCTTTGCTACAGCATTAGTCTTCTCTGTTGGGTCTCTTCTGCTACAAAAGTTTAGATTTATTTTTGTTTGTGTTCTGTCTTACGCAGCTAAGAAAACAGTTTCAAATAGGACAAATTGTCTTGTTCCAGGGAGGAGGTCTGATTTGGAGAGTGAAAACAGCTTGCTACTTGGAGAGCCGTCCACAGAAGAACAAAGCTCTATACACTGTGCCCCACAAGAGATATTATAGAGCCAAGATGCTGGCCTCAGGAAGCACTACTATGTAAGACGGTCTCCTTGTTAAGTGGCTTTTTTTCCTAGGATTTATGTGCTCCAGTACCTGGTCCTCTGGGTGCACCTCTTTTGGGTGTGATGGGCAGGGAGGCAAGTGCCTGGGGTATTCCCTTCTCCTGCTTGTAAGAAAGGCAAATCGTGTTAGTTCATTTCACAGGGATGCTGGTGCACCTTTCTGAAGCTTTTTAATAGCTGGCGCTGTAGAAGAGGAGTTGAGTCTATTTTAATCAGGTGCACGTCTCTCCCATATTTGTGTTTTGTGTGTTACTGGCAACATGAAATGAAGACATGCTCGTGAAAGAGCCAATGTTGTTCCTGCACAACATTCATGGAAAATCAGTTTTGGATGCACAGAAGTGTGAGTTTCTTGTGGCAGTTGGATGGAGAGTCACACTCAGATGCTTAGAAAAGTGAGATGACATCATATGATCTGTACATCTTGTGCACTACTATTATTAAAACATCTCCACTTGTAATGGCTGCTTTGGCAGACTGGTGTAATGAAGAATTTTAAACTTGGTGTAGGATATAAATCCTGGTAGAAAGGAACTCTAAAAGCAACAGGAATTTTGCTGCTTGAAAACCAGGCGCAGTTTAGTCCAATTTCTAGCCAAAGAGCCAAAGTGTGAATTCAACACTTTTAGGTTCTCAGTTAAAAGGTCATCATCAAGAGGTCCAGACTCACCACATCATCTGCCTGTTTTCCAGAAAAAAAAAAAAATCACTCTTGTCCAAAGTACGACTGGAAATGCCCAAATGAGATGATAAAAGTGGTAAGCGTGACCTGAGCCAAGAACCATTTTGCTGTCAAGGCTTAAAAAAATATTTTCATTAAGAAAGAAATGTTAGGAAATGGCAGCCTTTTGATATACAACTTGCAAGACTAAATTGGTGAAATTCTTTAGAAAGAGGATCTGATGGAAATTATTCTTACATTTACACCTAAGGCAATCACCCTGGATTTATTACTACATCTTGGGCTGCAAGCCTGAGTCTGATTTATTAACTACTGTCCCTTTTGGTTTCTTATCCAGGGTGGTAAACCAGCTGTAGAAAGCTGAAAAGAAGTTGAGCTGCATGTCTTGTCTTTTCAGCCTGTTTCTTGTGTTCATTTTGGTCTATAAACAAACATCTCTCAGGTCTCCTAAATAGATTTTTCCAATTGAGTTCCCAGAACAGACCACCACCAGTCTCATTAAAGCTTATTTATGCTACTTTCATGCATGAATAAAAAAAGCTCCCATTCACTGCTGATTTTATTTAGTTAGATCTTGTGCCTTGTGGTGGACATTGAATCGGAGTGACATTTTTGGCATCAAAAAAAAACTAATAGCGGGACTGTGGAGAACAGTTTGATGCCTGCTTCTGTTGCAGTATGAAGAGGAAGGGGTTAACCTGGTTTTGGCTGTATGGTATTGATTGAGGCTCACTCAAAGAAAATACAGCTGTGAATAGTTAGGAGTATTCCCTAGTAGCTGGGGTGGGGTTTTTTTCGGGCAAGTCATTGAACTGGGACTCTGGAGGTACGCTGTTTCCCAGGGATGCCACATGCTTCCTGCGTGATAGGAGGAGGAAGGTCACTAGTTGCTCTAGGTCTCAGCTCCCCAGCTGAGAATGATGCTCTCTTCCCTCTGTTTTTTCCAACTTGCTTGTTTATATCGCTAGCTTTTCAGCAGAGTAACATCTACTCTTGCCTGTGCGCTGATCACGATGGGTCCCGCTCTCAGCTGGGGCCTCTAGACACCACTATGAACAACAAACATGATTTTCCCTTTACGCTTGTCTCCTTCATCTCCATCCATGCTGCACTGCCTGTGAGGTAAGATTAACAGCTAAAAATAATAAAAATACCAAAGCAATCAGTGAAGATGAAGAACAAGGGAGTAAAGATCCAGCAGGTGTGAAAAGTTGTGAAATGGGTTTGTTTTTCTCCAGTCCTGCTGGCTGATGATCTCATGCAAAGGTACCGTGTTTTGGATCGAGAAGGATTTGAGCCTGTTCTTTAAGTCAAAAGGGTGAATAAAAAGCAGCTTTGTGTGTTTTCTTTGTGCTAAGCACATTGTGAATATTCTTAAGCATTGCCACAAGGATTAACATCTCTGCATTTTAATGTGCCTGGTGCTGGAATGTAGCTGGAAAGCAGAGCAGGCAGGAATGGTCTCTCCAGGCAGTGGGCTCTGCTAGGTGTCTCTTTGAAGTGATATTCAATAGCTTTCTGTTACTCTTTCTTCCCCCCTCCTACTTTTTTCTCCCCTCCTTCAACAGCGTCTGGAACAAATCCTGATAGATTTCACATTTCTGACATTTACTGGGCTAGACTGTTTTATCTCCAAATACTTTAGCAGGGCAGTAGTATTAAAAAAAAAAAAAAAAAAAAAAAAAGAAGCACGTGGACAGAAGTATGGAGTTTGGTATTTACTTTGGATCATTAACCTGGTCTGTAAATTTGATTTGATCTCTCCTT